AGTCCAGGCCGCCCACCACGCGCGTGAGGTCCGCTGCCGACCGCGCTGCAAAAGATGTGGAGGGGAGGAGGTGGTGGCAGTGCCGGCACACGCGTGTGCGCTGCCGGCCGGGCCCTGCACCCACGCACTCACCCACGGATGCCACCAAGACCAGGGCTCCCAGCAGCTCCGTGGTGCCCCACGGCCAAGGGGCCAGCATGGCTCGTGCCTCCGTCGCTGTGGCCACTGCAGGACACACGTGTTAGTCCCGTGATGGGAGTTTGGCCCTTCCCGGCTTCGCATGGACCTCGTGGACCTCCCCAAGCTTCAGGAAAAAGTGCTGTGCATTTCTCGGGACATTACGGTAGCGCTGCGCATTTTTGGGGGCATTACAGTAATGCTGCATGTTTTGGGGGATATTACTGTAGCGCTGCATGTTTTGGGGAGCGTTACAGTAGGGCTGCATGTTTTGGAGGGCATTACGGTAGCGCTGCACATTCTGGGGGAGCATTATGGTAGCGCTGCACGTTTTTCAGGGCATTATGGTAGCGCGGCATGGTTTTTAGGGGCATTGGGGCAGCACTGCACATTTTTCAGAGTGTTACGGTAGTGTTGCGCCTTTCTTAGGGCATTACGGTAGGGCTGCACATTTTTCAGGGCATTACGGTAGGGCTGCGCATTTTTCAGGGCATTACGGTAGGGCTGCACATTTCCTGGGGCACTGTGCATGTTTTGGTGGGGGGCATTACAACACCGCTGCACGTTTTTGGGGGCATTACGGTAGCGCAGCCATAGTGGGACCCACAGGGTCCTCTCTGCCCCGGTGCTCGGAGCTGCACAGTTCACCCCCGTCATTGCACTTTTGCAACGGCGACATCATTATCCCGAGCCCCACGGTCGCAATCAACACAATCATCATTAATGAGGCACCTAATTACGGGCCCCATCAACTCTTCTTTCTCCCCCTCCTTGTCTTGAGGCGGTTGCCCTCCTAGCACCCCACGCTGCCCTTGGAGACCTCCCTTGGGTTGAGGATGCGGGTCGCAGCCCCCTTGCCAATGGAAGTGGGTCATGGTTCCCCATGGACATGGGTTGGAGGCACCTGTGGAGGTGGGTCATTGCTCCTTGTGGACATGGGTCACGGTCCCCCATGGTTATGGGTCATAGTTCCCCGTGGCCATGGAGCCACCCATGATCGTGGGTCATTTCTCCCCATGGGTGTGAGTCATGGTTCCCCATGGCCAGCGATTGGAGCCACTCATGGCCATGGGTCATTGCTCCCCATGGATGTGGGTAGTGGGCCCATGGACATGGGTCACGATCCCCTATGGAGAGGCTGATTGAGGAAGGGGGCTGGGGAAGGGTGGGGGGATGAGGGATGAGGTTGGTGGGATGGGGAGAGAGCTGGGGATGGAGGGATGGATGGATGTAGGATGGGGTTGGAGGGATGGAGCAAGCTTGGAGAAGGAAGGATGGATGGAGTATGGAGATGGTGGGATGGAGCAAGCCCAGAGAAGGGCAGATAGCTAGAGAGTGGGGAAGAAAGGACAGAAGGACAAAGCGAGCATGAAGAAGGGCAGATGGAGCAAGTATAGAGGAAGGATGGATGGAGGGTGAGGAAAGAGGGACAGAGCAAGCCCAGAGAAGAAGGGATGGATGAAGAGTGGAGATAGAGGGATGGAGCAAGCCAGGAGAAGAAGGGATGGATGGAGAGTGGAGATGGAGGGCCGGAGCAAGTGCAGAGAAGGATGGATGGATGGAGAGTGGGGATGGAAGGATGGAGCAAGCCTGGAGAAGGAGGAATGGATGGAGCGTGGAGATGGAGGGATGCAGGAAGCCCGGAGAAGGATGGACGGAGGGATGGCATGAGCATGGAGAAAGGAGGGCCAGAACCCCCCGCCCCCTTCCCAGCAAACCTCTCCGCAGGTCCCCGTGCCGCCCCCCAGGCCGACAACCTC